TCACCCTCCTGCCCCACCCAAAGCCGGCATCACATTTCTCTCCCAGGAACATCTGGTGCGGGGAAGGTTTACATCACTGAGGGGAAGGTTTACATCAAAAAGGGAGGAGGAAGAAAATCTTTTGTCTTGGAGTAAAAATAAAATACAAAAGGAGACATCTTAAAAGAGACAGAGAGAGTTTTAAAGAAATGCCCCAGCAAGAGGATAGGCCAGGAGAACACCACGCTGGGCCTTTGAAAGGCAGGCAGAGCGTGTAACCGGCATCCCATCCTGTGATTTCAACCCGGTCTGGCCCGTGCAGTCCCGCGCAGGAAGCCCGAGGCCGTCCAGTCTCACTCTGGCCCGATGCTAACAAGGGAATGATCCACTTTGACGCAGCCACCACCCATCCCGCGTGTTCACATCACCTGGAAAGAAGCGATTCCGCCTCTGGTTTCCCTGGAAATTCTCGGTCTGGCTATACCACCTGCCCTGGCTCTTCAGAAGTACCGGAGGCACGCGGGAAACCGCATAGGGAGACAATGCTTTTATTTTCAAATGGAAAGTGACAAGCTGAGCCTGCAGTGGCTCGACTGGACGAGGAGAAGGAGAAGCAATGCCATGTCAGGAACGCAGAGGAGGCTGAAAGCCAGGGACACCCCCACAGGCTCTGAGGGGACCCCCTAGTCACCTTCCTGCAGAACTAGCTGGGAGATTTTTTCTGGGTTTATGTTTTCGGATCTCAAAGGTGACAAAAGAAAAATCAGTTAAAGACGCCCTGTATCTTTCTGTCCTCGGTTGGCATTATGAACGGGGGCACCCACAATTTTCAGATCTCGAAGAACAAGCCCATGGGCTCCTGTGAGACGCCCACGGCCTTTGGAGTCAGACACGCTTGAGTGCGAGTCAGAGCTCTCTCCTGGATGCATCACCTTTAAACCTCCGTTTCCTTGTCTGTACGAAGCGAGGGGTGTTAGTAACTACTTCCGAGGGTTCTTGGGAGGGTAGGAGAGGTTATAGCGCATTATACAGATGGTTGGTGAGAAACACAGCCCGAAGGCCACGGAGAGCCCTTCTCCAGTCGGGTTTATTCGGTGTATGTGTGTCTGGGCCCAGAAGATAGTCCAGCTGAGGTTTCAGATACAGAATAAGGAAAACTCCCAAGCCCCTCGGGGACCCGGCCCATCTAACCCACTTATCACGTGACACTCACTGGACATGAACCGAGGCAGCGCTGTCCTGTTCAATTGCAGAAACATCCTCTACCCTCGCCTTCCTCTGGGACCTCATCGGTCTCTTCAGTATGGAACCCTGACAGGCCAGGCTGCGGCGGACACTGCTGACCGATAGACACCCTGCCCTTTCTCCCGGCTCCCCAGCCAAAACACAGCCATGGTCCCCGGGAGCGACAGAATAGGACAGGAAGAGGAGGACTGATGTCTGAGGTCCCCCTGTCCCCACCCCGAGGCTCCCAGGGAGAGTCTGTGTTCTACCCTCGCCTTGCTCTGGGACCTCATCGGTCTCTTCAGTATGGAACCCTGACAGGCCAGGCTGCGGCGGACACTGCTGACCGATAGACACCCTGCCCTTTCTCCCGGCTCCCCAGCCAAAACACAGCCATGGTCCCCGGGAGCGACAGAATAGGACAGGAAGAGGGGGACTGATGTCTGAGGTCTCCCTCCCCCCATCCTGAGGTTCCCAGGGAGAGTCTGGCCAAAGAATTTCCCATCAGACCTCATAGGTAGGTGTGATTTCAGGAGCCCTAGGGACAGTGGGTATCCGTCGGAGAGCCCAGAGGCTCCCCCCCAACTCCTGTGTGATGTCTGTACGCCCCCTGGCCCTCTCTGATTTTTCATTCATATGAAAAAGGGACATACTTAGAAAGATGACCCCTCATTCTGAAATGTGATCATTTGACAGCATCGGCTTCCACACCCGGGAGATGACAGGGCTCTACAGCGGCCGTGGTGAGAATAAAAGCTGATATTTTTAAGCAGCTGCTGTGAGTTTGCCATTTGATGTCTCCCTTCATCCTCACAACCTCCCGTGGAGGAGGTATTATTATAACCCGAACTCCTACCCTAGCCTGTAGGGCCCTGCGGATCTGGCCCCTCCTTCCTGTCTGAACTTCTCTGAGCTTCCCTGGATGAAGCTCCGGCTGCAAACAGGGCTGCCTCGCAGGCCCTCGCTCTCGCGCTCTCTGTCCTCCTCAAAGACACACCGCTGGCTCTTGGTCATCCTTCTGTGGTCAGCCGGAGAGGGAGTGTCCTCAGGTTTCAATCCTTCCTCTCCAGGGCCGCCACCTAAAATTATCCTTATTTACTGAGGTCGTGGCAGCCGTACTGTAATCTCTGTGTTCGTGCATGAGATTCTAAGCGTCATGCTATCAAGGACCTTTATCAGCACAGAGCCCATAGGAGGTTTTCAGTGCAGTCTTGTTTAATACTGAATGAATGAATGAATGATGCATTAAACAGAAGCTCAGAGGGGGTGATGGAATTTGTCTACAGTCACCCATCAGTGAGTGTGACAGAACTGGGACTCAAACCCCGGGCCTGTCTGACCTCCAGCCGAAGTGTGTAACCACTGGGCCACACCGCCCTTCCGCGGGGGGAGCAGGTGATGCTTCCCAACAGTGAGATTCCGAAGCAGCGGGAGTTCCCAGCCAGAGGCATGATCTAAGCGCCCGTGTCTGAGTGTCTGGGAGCATTGCAAGTCGTTTCGAGAAAAGGCGACGTGCGCGGCACCATTAAAGCCTGCTGCTCTCCATCCCGTCCCTGCCATCCCCGCCTATTAAAATAATGGTATGAAAAATAAACAGCCTTTACGGACGGTTTTATAGGCCGCGTGCATTGTTTGTTTCTCTCGCTGTTACCATGGCAGTGATGTTCTGCCGTTAACTTCAGGTTTCTCTGTGATGGAAGGGAACGGAGCAAAATTGCTTGGGGGGAAAATTGCCAAACAAAGGCTTTTCCTCCCCTGGATGCCCCACCTCCCAGCGCTCAAAAGCAGCCGCAGCTCACCCTGAATTCTGATGCCCCAGCATCAAGGCTGCTTCCAAATCTACAGCCTCCCATGGCTCCCCAGTGCCTGTAATTTGAGGGCCGAGGGTCTCAGCCTTTCTGTAAAGGCTCCGCTAACTGGATCCCTCTCCTGGTCCTCGTTCCCTCGCACCCTGGGTGTCTCTCAGGTCCACACATTTGCTCGCGCTGTTCCTGCCTCCCGGGCTGCCCTTCTTCCTTCCGCCTCTCTGCCAGGCCTCCTGGGACTAATTATTTCAAGTTCAAGTGTGACTCGGCCACCCTCCCACCTTTCCCACCCATCCTCCAATCTACGTCAGATTCCTTCCCTCCCTGCTCCCACGACCCCCTTAAGCATAGCATTGCTCTGGTCCCCCATACTTTTTTCCCCCCAGTGTATAACGGTGGGTCAGGAACATAGTAGGTGCTCAATAAATGCTCCTCGAATCAACTTAGCAGGAAAAACCAGACGGTCTGAGAGGCTGCCGAAGGGTGGAGCATCTGTGTGTATCTCATTCTTTCGGAATAAATGGTGGCAGCGGTGGTGGTGGGGTGGGCAGTGTTCAACCAAAGCTCTTGGGCAGAGGAGGGTGGAACCTTTTGGTTGACAAGCCCAGTGAGTGGTTCTCAAAACAGAACTATGGTGCTGATATGAAAATAAAGATGATGTGAAGATAAATTCCCGTCCAGGGAAAACAACAGACGCCCATGGCATTTGACACATCATTTCCACTGGGCGCCCTCATGCGAGCCGAGGGCTGGGGGGCTCCAGGCAGAACCCTGATGTGTGGGGGTTTCCGGGTTCCTCCCTTCCAGCCATCTGAGCAAGTTCGACTCACCGTTTTTCTGTACACTCACTGCTTCTTCTTTAGGCATCTCTTCCGCGTGTCCACGACTGGCCTCACTTTTCTGCGTGGTTCTTGAAAAGGCGCAAGGACAGCGCGTCCTGACCCACCTGAGGGCCAGAAAAGAAACGGGCGTTTACGTTCCCCGCGAAAAACACCCCCCAACTCCCCGTCGCTGCCCCGGACACAAGACAGATGCTAATGAGAATTTTCACCAGCATTTACAGGCTCCGTTTTAATTATCCCGGATCTCTCTGAATTTACGGTAGCCCTCTGATTAACAGGAGGGAGGAAAAATCAATAGCATCCCGAAAAATTTGGATGTGTTATACGGCTAATTCCAATTTTATGTCATAATCATGTTTTAATGTTGGGCCTAATTACCATAATTAAGCTGCCAGCGACAGCGCTGGCTGGGACAGAAGCTGTTGCTATCCTAAGATGACTTGTCGGAGGCTTTTCCCAGATTTTGGGGTGCATCTTGCCATTTGGCTGATTTGGGGCACTTATGGGGGTGGGAACAGTGTGGGTGGGGCGGGTGATCGTTTCTGGAACCCTGACTCTCCCCGAGGAAGCCTCGGTTCTAAGGTTAAGGCTGGGCTAGGTGCCATGCCTTTGTCATTCACTAAATGTTTATTGAGCATGTACTATGTGCCAGGTCCTCTGAGCAGCACTGGGAGTACGGATGAGAGTTTCCATTCCACGGGGGTGAGTTCGTCATTAAGTAACTAATGACATAAGGAGACATGCCAGGTGACATTAGAGCTGCCCTAGCTCTATGTGGGATGTGGAGTCCGGGAGGCTTCTGTGGGGAAGCAAATGCTTGGTGGAGACATTAAGAATCGCAGGAGGTAACTGAGGCCCAGGGAGAGGCCCAAGTTGCAATAACTCATCAGATCAAACCCCAAGCCCTCCACCTCGCAGGCCAGGCCGGAGCCGCCCTCCCTCCACTGGAAAAGCTGTGACTCCCGGAGCCCCCAGGCACCTGTGCACGTCAGGCACACCACCTGGTACTGACAGGCACTGATTGTGGTGAGGAACTAAGGGGCCCCGAGTTCACCCAGTCATTGCAGGTGAGACTGAAAGAGTAGATAAGATGCCCATTCCTGCGAATCCACCTTCTCTGCTCTACAGATCTCCCATGAAGCTGTAAGACTTGGTACCGCCTAACCACGTCCTTTAAAGTTGGGTTTGTTTATCCATTTAGCTCATAGAAAAACAAAACCATTTCAGAATGCTTATAAAATCCATACGGCAAGAGTAACCAAAGGTATATCAAGCTCCCCAAACTCGATGCAAGTACATAATTACATAGTTAAACAAGATGACATGTGTGTGGACACAGGCCACTAGCTATCCAGTCTGATTACCTGGACAGAGAAGCAAGGTGTGCACACGAGCAAGTGTGAGAGAGAAAAAACGCAGCGGGATGGAAGAATCCAGACGGTATAATGTTCACTGGACGCAGGATACAAACACTTTCATATACATTACCGCAGGGTATAAAAATAAAAAAGGCAGCCATGCAAGTCCCGAGGAGAACACAATAAGAAGAAAAAAGGATTTCCAGGTAATTAAGTTTTGTGTTTCTTCAAACGCCATTCTCCCCTTCCCCAAAATGGAACAGAAAAAAAATATAAAAATGTAATAGCAAGAGACAGTGAGAAACTAGTTTATGTTCTGATCTGCCTGCCAGAGGCAGGGATGCTGAAACTTTCCTGGAAATGAGCAGCGTCTGGAGGGTTTTGTTAAAACGCAGATCCCCAGGCCTCTCTCTCGTCAATGCTGAGTGTGACGAGTTCCTCATGTAGTTCTGGTCTCATTGTGATGAGGACACATACGGTCCCAGACAGGAAGGCCCGCCCCCCGGCCCCTCCTCACCCAGCCCGATTTGATCAGGCCTGAAATCCCAGTTAGAATCCATTTGCTGTCACAAGACCATGTTACAATGCAATCGCCATCTGGGAGAGGATGTAGTGAGACTGGTTATTATAAGACAGCGTGACCGGGTGACTCAGCCCTTTGGAGCCTGACCTGAAACGGGGTTTCATGCGCTGAGAATAGCAAATATCTATTGACCACTTATTATGGGTCCCATGTGAAGCACTGAACGTGCTCTCAACAACGCCAGGAGGTAGCACTCCAGTTATTACCATTTTCCAAGAGAGAAAACAGAGGTACAGAGAGGTTAAGGAATCTGCCCAAGGGGCACAGACAGTAAGTACAAGAGCCAGGTTTTGGCTCAGCCGGGGTGGTTCAGTGGTTGAGCATCGACCTACGAACCAGGAGGTCACGGTTTGATTCCTGGTCAGGGCACATGCCCAGGTTGTGCGCTGGATTAGGGGGAGGTGGGGGAGGAATCCAGAGTTGGCGTGAGGACCGTGTTTCCCACGCCCCAATTCCTGCGTGTGGCTGGACAATAACTCTTAGGACCAAACCCCCATTTTTAAAAAATACGATCTGAAATCAATAAAAAAAAATTTTTTTTAAAGAGCCAGGTTTTGAATCCACATTATTGTATAAAATAATAATACGCTACCTCTTCCCAACAGACACAAAAGGAGGAGACAGCAGCC